AACAGTTTATGGTCATGCCAAACCATTGTAGAAGCAACCGAGACTAATGCCGGAAGACAATTTTTGATCATGTCGGACCATTGTAGGAGCAGGGCCAGAGCTAATGCCAGGAGACAGAAAATAGTTTTTGGTGAGGTGCCAGACCGTTGAAGAAGAAGCCGATAGCAGAAGTTTGAACCGGAAAAGAACCATGTGTGCTAGGAGGAGGCTTAGGTAATGTGCCAAGGGAGCAGCTTAGGGAGTGCGTCAAGGGGGTGACTTAGGTGGTTCGCGTGGTTCGCATGGTATGACCATGCTCACCATGATATAGGTATAATACCCTCCCTCAAACTCAAATAGGTTTAAAGATAGAAACCTATTTGAAGTTGAAGTAGAGGGACAAACAGAGTGAAGAACTGCAGAGGAACTTTAAGGAACTTTGGCCGGGGATGAAGGAACATAGAAAAACCAACAAACAGAGAAGGAGATTACCATGAAGTGATATTGAAAGGAAAATATGACAGTGGAATGGGTTAAGGTCCAGCGGACGGCCAAGGCAAGGTTACCGGCCGCCAATAAGGCAAAGAACACGAAGAGCATAGCCTATAACTCTAATACCATGTTAGAGCATCTCCAACAGTGCATCGAAATTTTCACCAAATTTGAGTAAAAGGTCCAATTGATATCAAGTGCTCCAACAGAGGTATCTATCTATTAAAAATTACATCAAGAGTTTTTGTAGGTCTCTCTCTCTCTCTCTCTAAAAACTTCCACCCCCGGGCCTCACTTTTGGCCGGCCGACCACCGCCTTTCGCTATGGCGGTCGGCTAGCCCAGCTCTCTTTTGTGTTTGTGTGCTGGTTTCTGCTTTCAATAAACTTAATTCCCACAATTTCTTTCCACTTTGGTGTCCTTTTTTGTTTCATCAGGGGGTGCTTCGGTTTGTTTATTTTGTATCATCAGGGGGTTGTTTATTTTGTTGTCTGTTTTTGTCTCAACCTTGGGGTTGCATGTTTTGTTTCAACTGGAGGTGCTTGGTTTAAGGGTCTAAACAGAGTAGAAGGAGGTCGGTTTTGGACCGGAATGGAGGATGGTCAGATCTTGTTGGATCTTCATTCGGGCACTCTTTTGTGAGTGGGAGTTTGAGGGATGAGCTCGGTTTCGGATCTATGGAGTTGCTTCGGTTGGAGGGAACAATGGTGTTGTAGTTTATCCAGATCTGTCTAAGATTTCATTCGAGCGCTCCTTTTCGAGTGAGAGTTTGAGGGGTGAACTTCATACAGATGTTTGGTGATGTCTCGGCGGTTGTTCGATGTTTTGGGTTGTCAACACCGGGGCTTTTGCAGTGGGTGTGTTCGGAGTTTGGAGCCGGAAAGCTGTGTCCGACCATGGAAGTGGAGATGGCAGTGGGTCTTGGTCGGCTGTGGTGATGGTCGTGAGTCTTGTTCATCCTTGGGTGTGTTCGGTTGCAAGGAATGCCCGGTCCCGACCATGGAAGTGGAGCTGGGTGTGGAGTTTCTCCAGCCTTGGAGTTGTTGGCTATGGAGTTTTCCGGCCAAGGAACTGTCTCGGTAGAGTGTTGTCAGATGTGGGCTGCTGAAAAGCTTTGGTTTGGGTGGTGCGGAGTGCTTTTCATGCCTTGGTAGAGTGTTGTCAGGTGGGCTGTTGATAAGATTTGTTTGTGGTGGCATGGGTCTTGGTTTTGGTGGGCAGCAAAATGGGTGAATAAAATATTCGGGTTGATTAGTAGTGTGTGGTTTGCTGTTAAGAAGAGTTAGCTCTTAGGTGTTGTTAAGAGGTGTGTAGCAGCTTGGGTGTTTGGTGTTGGTTTTTTGTTTTTTGGGTTGTGTGGGTTGTTTTTGTGGGGATTTTTTTTTTTTTTAGTTAAGTCCTTCTTTACTTTTTTGTTTAAAAGAAAAAATCGTGAGGCCAAGGGGTTGGTTGTATGGGTGTGAGTAGCACTAGTAGGGGTATTTTGTACTTTCCGAATCTCTCTCGATGTATATCATCTTCCTGTACCTTTAATTTCATGCTGTTGATGAAATTTTTCTTTGCTGATCAAAAAAGTGCTCCAACGGAGGTTTTTGAAGCTTCATTAGAACACCGGTCTACCGGGCGGACGACTGGGCGAATGTTCGGTTAGTTGACCGGCCAATGTAAATTTTGCAAAAATTTTTGCCTTTAGGTGGTCATCTAGGGGGACAATCGAGCGGATGTCCAGCCAGTGTAAATTTTTCACAATTTTTGGCCTTGAGGTGGTCATCCGAGTGGACATCCAGTGGTAAAAATCTAACGGTTATGAATAGTGATTTGTTTTTAGGCACATCCATCCTCAATCTAATGAAAGATTTGAGAAACCCTAGATTTGTTGAAAGATTTGGTGAACTATTGGAACGGCAGAAAGTAAGTTTTTTCATCAAATTTAGATTTGATGAAACAGTTGGTTAACCATTGGAGATGGTCTTACAAAATCTAAAAGAGAGAGAAAGAGAATATTATATGTATATTATGTGTATACTTAATATTATGTATCTTACAATACAATGAAGATACCTACATATAGGTTAGGTAAGAGTGGGCAACAAGAAAGTTATGGAAATATCCTAATACGGTAAAATCTAACTACAACATCTAACATCTATAGTGAATATATATATTTTTTTTTATCAACCAAAGAAACTTCATTGATGGTTAAAACCATACAAGAGTACAAAATACATCAATAAAGGAAAAACAAAAATAACTGCACAAGCATCACAGCAAGCCACTACAGATCACAACAATGTTAACACTGCAAGGCACACCAGCTCATATGCACCGCAGCTACCCACTGCTAGTGAGATACCAACAGGGAAACAACCACAATAGCTACAGAACAAAACTTACCCACCTATCCTCAGTCAGACAAAATCAACACCAACCATTACAAGCAAAATCTGACCTCCCTAATGTTTGAGACAAGGTCATGAACAGAAAAATGGACACCTATTTACATGTTGCATGCTTAAGTGTCATCGCATTCGGCATGCTTCTTGTATTAAGTTGCTTTGCATATTTACATGTGTTATGCCTTTCATGTTATTGCATGTGTGTCATTAACATTGATGTTATATGCCTTGCATGCTTACTTGTTTAGTTCATGTGCCTATTGCACATGGTTTTGTTGTTGGTGGGAAAATGTTGCACACTTAGCTCACATGCCTAGGTTGCATTACATTGGCATGCATGCTTTGCCTCTTGAATTGAGTATGATAGAGGTTGAGGTCATTGTTTGTTTATGTGCATTTCATTCTACATTGAGCTTGCTTCAAGTCAGAATGGCAATTAAAGC